GAAGAACAAATACCTTATCCCTCTCCCAACCAAACCACACCATCCATGAGGAATTTGGCTTGTTCGTAGTAGAACAGTATGGCCAGTACAGGGTCTCCCAGGATTGTGGTCCCTGGCTCCCGCAACTATGAGCCCAAGCCACAGCTATAGAATAGAGTGAAGTAGGTAGCAGTAGGGTGCTAGTTATAGTATTTTTCTTACAAAGAGAATCCATCCCACAACCCTATGGAAGCTCCAAGTTCGGACTTGTGGGGTAGGGTCGCGAGAGTGTGTCTGGTGATTAACCCCACAGGCACCTTCCTAACTAGGAAGGTGAAAAGTGGGGTCCGGAAAATACCGGAGGTGGAGCTTGACTGATAACCCTACTACCGGCGGTATTATTATGATACTGGGGTGAAAAGAAGTGGAAGAAGGAAAAAAAAAAGGTTATTAAGGTTATCAATACTAACCAGAGACTTTCTCTTTGCTAAAAGAAGTCGATTGTAATATCTTAGATCCAGAGAAACTGGAGTTTACTACACCTTGTTATTATGATTCCATGGGCTCATTCATTGTTAAAACTTCAGCTAGCCGTGGTAGAATATAGTTTGACTTTTGGGGTCTAATATGTACCCATTGCTGGGTTTGACAAGAGCGGCACCTCTGCTGTCAAACTAGCAGTATATAAGTTCGAAGCCTTCAGGTGCTGCAGGCAAACCCCCCATCATACAGACCAGATTGCGGGGGGCACACTCTGGAAGCTACAGCTGTGGGGTTCCTGGCAAAGGGCAGCAAATTGTGGTTGATAGCGGAGCTCTCGGAACCGTTGGAACAGGTTTGTTTTGTTCCGGGGTTATCACTGTTGGGGGGATGTTTCTGAATTTATGTTTTTCCTTTATTACCACGGCCAAGTGTAGAGGAATGGGGGCGTGCATAGAGGAGATGGGAGAGGTGTAGTAATCTGTGAGAGGACCGGGATTCTTTCATTAGGACTTCTATATTTATTATTACCATCAATTTAGCGAAGATTCCGAATGTGGGATCGGAAGCTCCGGGAATGATTACCTTGCCTACTATTTCTCCAAACCTGTCAAGCCCCAGCATAGACTCCTCCTTATATCACTGTCCCCACGTACATCCTCCAACACTAGAAGGCCACTAGGGAGACGGGCATTTTCTCGAAACCACCAGGTTCTATTAGCTAGGGTACCGCCTATACCGTATCTAACTTAAAGCTCGGTTTCCAAACATTCTCCTCACTACGGAGACGGCAATGTAAACCCACACTCGGAAGTGCCATATCTTATTCCCCGCTCCTCTCCTGTAGAGATAATACTCCGTCTGCTCTATCCCTCTTGGGGTGCAACAGTGCATAATACGGATGTGTTTTTATGGTAATTCTGGCAAGCCTTGTTTCGGAAATATAATATTGCAGAGGCTATCATGATATGGATTTCACTGAGGGTTACTTAAATCTAGGGACGTGGTGGGGCCAGTTCACTCACCAGGAGATGGGTGGGGGTAGGAACATAAATGATAAGGGTAACGTTTGGGAAGAAATATCTACCCTATAGCGTCCGCCGGTACTTGCGTGGCTCTGGTGCACGAATGCCCGTGGTCTGCGGGGAAGATAAAACCGGGTCACTTTTGCAGACCAAGGCATACGCTGCGGCGCCTTGATCTCTATCAATGGCGGAATTTATCTAAAGTACTCGTACATTTTGAACCGCAGCAAAACTTACATGACAGACCACCTAAATCTACACCGGCCGTTTAGACCCTTTGCCCAAGGACATGATACTAGATTCCAGATAGCAGGGAGACAGGAGAGATACTCCAGACGCTATCGGCGACAACAACCGGTAGTCCGAGCTCCCAGCCACCCCAACCCCAGCCACAGTCAAGGATAGAGGCAAGATTCGACATCCCATCCGTGGAGTATCGGAGAGACAACTTCCGGAGCACGCAGGTGGGATCTGCAAGTGTCTCAGATGCGGCGTTGGAGGCACTGCAGGCCGTGGGATGAACACTTCAACTACTAGACGCTAAGTAAGGGAATTTCTGGGCAAACACCTCCGGTTCTCATTTTTCAAGTGTTCATGCCCCAGTGACCGGCCTAGAGAGTGGCAGTGTGGTTTTCAATACGGTAGTGGACCCTAAGAACCCCCCTTATCAACATCTCAGGTAATGACGCCAACTAAATAAAGCCAAAGCTATGAATTGCAATCAAGAGTGGAACATGAGTGGAGTCAATATACGATATTGGGTTGCGGTGCGCGGCGGGAACCAGCTCCAGACACGCAGGCCACCCCCCACCCTCTCCGGCACGGCGAGTTAGCAGCTTGCGTGCCTCCCTGCCGGTCGGACGTGGTCACTTTCGTGAGCGTGGTCCGGGGAGTAAATTCACCGCATGCGGCGCACAGCGAGGCGAACACCGGGGTGTGGTATGGTGTGATGGCTAATGTCGGGTATCGAACATGCTAGAGACGGTGAGAAGGGGCCGTCAATAATTAACGTGGAATGTGAAGAGTTATGGATGATGGGAGCTGGGTTTGGGTAGAGAAGGATACAGCCCAGCATACGGGAGCCACACTGCACTCGACTTTTTTGATTCGGTGGGAAAGGAGGCCCTGATTCAGCCTTGTGTTCTACTGCAGGAACGAAAGAAAATTTTTATCCTCTGGATGGATGACGTGTTCAAGCTAGTTGCCCTGAAGTGCCCTCTCCCGTGCATGGCTGTATCCAAGCGAGGCGCCCCGTCCCTCCCCAACCGGATTTCTCGAAAAGCCGTGCACGGATAGGGAACTGGTGATCATACAGCCCTCCGGAACGTCAAGATATACCGGTACTCGGGGCGAAGTTCACACTCGCGTTCGGGTATAGTTCCTGGATAGGGGTTAAGCAAAATCGGCAAACGTGACCAGCAGGCTCCATAAGTTAACGGCAGACAATCTGCGGACATGACGGATAGGAAACAAGGAGTTCTAGTGGATGCAACCAATCATGAGGAGATGTAATAGAAAACAGATCGCCTGACAACCAACAAGATATTCCACTCGAAATTTTGTTGCGGGCGATGAAAAATTAGCCTTGGTACAAATCAACACTCTACATTACCCTGAACTTCCAGAATCCCTTCCAGCCTCAGAAGTGCTAAGATTCGGCCTTCCGAGAAACCAGAACGTAGACACTAATGCAACCGGTCTGGGTTTCTGATGTCAACAGCCCCGTATTTCTTTCCGCTGCCTTTATCTACGAGATGGGATCGGCAGAGCCCCTATCTTGACGCAGCAGGGTTCCTAGTTTCTTTGTGTCGACCAGTACTTGATGATACCTGACAACCAATAGGATCTACACTGGGATAGCGGGGGAGGTCGTCTTGAGCCTCAATGCCAAGGGTTTTTTGTGTTTGGAGATGATTCCGTAAAAGACAAGGTAAATCTTCACAAGAGGTCTGAGGAAATTTCCCGATCACACTTGCGTGGTGTGATGTTAGAGGCAGTTAGTTCCATCATACCTTCTCCGGGCTGCTCGGGTGTACTGTAACTTACTTCCGCAAGCGTTTTCGCATCGTGGGCCACTTAGGATGGCTGAACGCACGGAAGCCGGAGTTAGCCCATCGTACCGGCTAAACTGACGTACCCGTAAGGTAGATATTCCCGCACCAGCGCATGTCCAATGATTTATGTTGACCAAGTGTAGAGAGCCTCGATGCGTGAACTATTGTCCGGCTTCCTCCCTGCGAGTATTGCAGTCGCGCATACCATGTGATGTAGTAGATGAGAAAAGCCAGGTCATGAGGTTCAGCCGCACAGGCGGGGCACAGAGAAACAGCTATCTATCAAGAGTATTCAAAGACCAACCATGATGTCGCCCCGGTGCGAGATACCCATGAAATTCAAGCGCAGACGGGTTCCGTAGGTCGGGTTCATTCAGGAGGGGGTTCTCCGGGAACGCCCCGGGGCCTGTGCGAAGCACGCCAGAGTGCGTTGTTCAACAGTGGGTAGTCATAGCTTCCGCAGCCAGAACGGCACATCACCGGGGATAATAAACGAGGCCACGCTGGGGGTGGACGGGCTAAGAGGCAGGGTGTATGAGTAGTAGACTTCGGTGCCTTCTCTGCATCCCAACATACAGGGGTGCCATAGCAGGCCAATGTGCATGAAGTACAGTCCATTCTCCGAGTCTGCCCTTTTTTACTAATTTCAGAAGAAGCAGGCTGAGCTCCGCACACCGTATCTGATAACTCACCACCCTCGCTATTGAATAGAAAGTGCTCGAGCTCTTCATACCACATCACCCACCACCTCCCATCAAACTCCCTACCGCGGTATCACACAATTGTTTCCCACCAACCCCGAATTTCCCTGCACAGGAAAGGGAAATCCGAAAGAGGGAAGAAGGTTGAACAACAAGGCTTCGACGGGAGAAAGGAACACTACGCCTCCAGAACAGGTGAGATTAGGGACAGAGAACTTTGCTCAAGAAGCATTGGCTGACGTTGTGTTTCGTACAGAAGAACTTTACAACTTCAAGTACGGGAACGGGGCCTTAAACCGAGCTGTTGGGGGACCAAAACAGAGGTGGAGGCTGGGCTCGACGAGGAAGGTGTTTATCTTTGGAAAAAAGCCGGAATCAAGAATACTTGAATACCTGAAGCCATTTCGAATATTAAGTTGTCTGCCAGCTACGATAGGTAGTGCAATAGCAAGCCGGTCCGGGTGTCGAGTCGCGCTAATTGCCCCAGTCAGTTACCAAGTCTCATCACAGGAAGCACCCGTCGCCCTCCGCCAGAGACATCAACAACCGCCGGGCAATTAGACACATCAGATTCACGAACAACGAAGTGCTAATCAGCAGCAAAAGCGACGAAAGCCAAGCCCAAGATCCCACATCCAATTGGGATTTACGGACAAGGGATGGCAGAGGAATCGGTTCAAAGGGATATTGGGGACCCTAGAAGCGGAACATTGAGACAAGATCCAAGAATCCACGGGTGGTATCAAGAGCTACGTGATACGATGAATGCCAGCGATGCTCTCTTTTCTCAATACGAGAATACCCTCGACCTTAACCTCCTCAATCGGGCAATTGTACTAGCAGAAAGAGCAACTACCAAGACGACCTCCCGCCACCGGGAAAGACTTGTTTTGGCGGCCAAGCTGCGCAAAATGTATGGGGACAAATTTGAGCATACAGGTGATCATGGAGATCTCGACATGGCCTGGGTGTGGGCAGTGGAGGAAATAGACAAAACACAGCAAAACATGACCAACTATGGAACCGTGTGCAGCAGTATCCTCGCTCTCCAGCATCATCTTGAGAGCATACACAACCGGTACAGATTCCCAGGTGGGGATTTATACAGAAGATATGTGCGGCTAGGTAAGTTGAGCGACCTCAACGAGGCAATTATTCGGGTGGGAACGGCCATCGATACATATGGAGTAGAGAACCCCTCTCACAATGATATGCTAAATGTACGGAGCGTGTTATTGAGGGAAAGATTTGAGCGGCTTGGTGGCATGAGAGATCTAGAATTGGCGGAAGAGATAAATGAGGAAATAGTGAGACGAAGCCGCACCGGTGGCCCGGAAAGTACCAGGGCAATTGAAGGCCTTGGCGGGGTATTATACAGACGCTTTGAGCGGATCGGCACCCTGGGAGACCTTCAAAAAGCCATCAAGCACGCCGAAGACGCACTAGCTGCTACCCCTCTAGATCACCAAAATCGAGCTGAGAGACATAACAACCTGGGCAATATGCTGTCTACGAGATTTGAGCGGATAGGAGACCTTGGAGACGTTCAAAAAGCTATCAAGC